ATTCTTCGAAATCAGTTTGGGTTGGAGAAGTATTTGAAGCTATTTCGTCTTCGGGAAAATGTGTGGTAGTAGTATAAACTGGTTTACTTATTTGAGAAGTTATAGAATTATCAATCCCTTTTAGTTTATTTTGAGGAATTTGGTTGGTTGGACCAAGATGTATTTGACTATTTTTGCGAAATAAAGGAGTATTAAATATTTCATCATCAGTTGTAATTTCGGTAGGGACATTAGAGGTACTATGTCGAGAAGATTGACTTCGATTAAATTTAATTCCTACAGAACCATCATTAAACTGTTGAATATTTTGAATATCTTGGATAGAGGATTGTTGTTGAGTATGTTTGTAATTTTCATTGACAGTAATCCATTGTTCAGATAAATCAATATTTTGCCATTCAATCATTTGGGGAATATTAATATTGGATTCGCCACTACTACTACTTTGAATTAATAAAGTTTTATCTTTGGGGCTTTTGTATAAAGCATGAACATTTAAATTGGTTTGCATACATTTACAATGAACACGATAAATTAAAGCAATATTGTGAGCTTTTTCTAACATTTCAGTGTATGAACCATGTAATTGAATATTTAATGTTAAAGCTTTGAGTATAAGTGGATCACGTAAACTGAGTGTAAAATCAGGAAAACAGTTAAAATGTACTGGACCTTTATTAAGACCAGTTTCCATCATTCCCATTAAACTATCATTGTAATTAAGAAAACGACATTCTAATTAAAGTGTGATTATTTATATATTTTTTAATCACACCTTCTAATTAAAGTGTGATTATATATATACTACTACTTTTTAATCTCACTTTTTAAATAAGTGTGATTATATATATATATATATTAATTTTGCATCAAATAATTGGCAAGTTTGTAGAGGTTTTTCTAAAGCATAAACTTGTTCAATAGTTTTAACATGGAGAGTAACTTTAAAAACATTTTGTAAAAAAGTAGTTTTATAAATTTCTTTAATTGGCAGTTTAGGTATATTCCATCTAGCATTAAATTTATCATTTTGTATTTCAACATCTTCTTCATTAATTACTAATCCTTGATTAGGTATTGAGGGCAAAGTTGTTGGCCTAGAACTTACTGATGAGTTACTTCTAAATAATCGACTCATTGTTGTTTTTAATTAATCAGTTTTATAGATATCTTAATACATACCCTATTCTTGTCAGTTTTACCTCATACCTAGTATGCGTACATACCCTATTCGGAAGACCCCTAAGTCCAACACGGCCTAATTCTAAGGTCTTACTTAGGACAGGGACGGAAGTGGGTGATTTAAACTAGGTGGATATAACAGACTGATCTTGTGGGTGATTAAGATGAACTGAAAACAAGATTAATCAAATAAACAATAGAGAAGATTGACCAGAAGTAGCAAAGCAGTTAGAAACAGGATACAACATCAACTTGGCTCTGATATCTTAATACATACCCTATTCTTGTCAGTTTTACCTCATACCTAGTATGCGTACATACCCTATTCGGAAGACCCCTAAGTCCAACACGGCCTAATTCTAAGGTCTTACTTAGGACAGGGATGAAAGTGGGTGACTTAAACTAGGTGGATATAACAGACTGATCTTGTGGGTGATTAAGATGAACTGAAAACAAGATTAATCAAATAAACAATAGAGAAGATTGACCAGAAGTAGCAAAGCAGTTAGAAACAGGATTTCAAAGTAAAATTTTATTTAATTTCAGAAAATATGTTAGCCCCCTTAGAAAAACATTTCCAACCTGCACCAAAATTTATCACAACACACAAACTCCCCTGATGATCATCATGCAATCTTTGTGCAAAAATAATCTAACAACACAACTACATATATTATCAGAGATACACAAGTATAATCTGTATCATTGTATTCTATCCATAACAACGTTCATTCCTATTCAAAACAATAGCTTTATATAATAATGTATTAATCACCAAACCACAGTAAAATTTACTAGAACAATAGACATAACATGTACTATCTAATACTCTTTTAGTATTCTTTCAATTATAATTACTTTTTCACCGTTCTTTCATTTACAAAAACCGAAATTACATACATCATTCACAGTAGTACCCCAGAACTTGTCCACATTGTCATCCTTGAGGTCTTAGCTCTTGCCCCTCTTTTTTTTTTTTTTTTTGAGGTTGAAGTGTTCCTCAGTCCATGCTTTTGGATAATCATTCAAAAATTGATGCACTATTGACGCTCGGAGATTGCTAATTTCATCATCTTCCATATAATTTGCAATAGGCTCTCTCTTATGATTTGGCGCATGATATAACATACAATAATTCCACAATCAACACTGTTAATAAAAATCAATATCTTGTTAGATTTTGTCAAATTTGAAAACTACCAATTCAAGCATGTAATAGTAGCATGAAATACTTACGATGTTGGGCGTTGTTGTGGACTATCTTTTACCGAAACCAAGTTTGCAAACTTTCTTCTACCTCTCTTCGTTTTGTTGGCCAACTTGCTATCCACATATGTTATCTAACATCATTGCATAATTGTTTGATCACGATTAAATTCACGAATAAAACACAGCAAAAAATTACTGTTAATATGATGCAAAACACTTACAATCTTTTTTGCATCCTTAAGGTAAGGATCTTCTCTGTTGTCTCTTGGCCTTAAAGAATTGTAATGTCTCCATTCATCAAGTTCAGTGTCAAATACAAGAAGTGTCCAGTGGTAGGGTTTTTCTTCCTTCTTGTTCCCATTGGAGTTCATGCAAAAGTGAAGGTATCTATATCCACTCAAATCTTGCTCAAGCACTTGGTCAATTAAATGATTTCTCAAACCTCCATAACCCCATTTCACTAATGACTGCATTTAATCATATAAGAGTGTCATGTCTCAAGTTGTGTTGGTGACACACTGTATGAGTTGTCAATCTTTGGCAAACCAAATAGTAAAAATTAACTCTAAACTATAGTATAATGTTATACTAAACCACAGTAAAAATTTATCCATTCAAACTAAACACAAATTGATGGCTTACCCAACAAAGGCTTGAGAAAAAGAATGACTTATTTTTTTCTGGCTTCTTTGCTTCTTGTTCAATCTGAAGCATTTCAACAAAGCTGTCAATGACCTACAAAAACAAAAATCAATTAAATATATGTTAATAAAATGAACTATTTTTAGTTATTGAAGTGAACACTAGTCATTGAAAATTGTATGGCCACTTACATTATTTGCAGTATCACCATCTCTCAGAATTGCACCCACATCATGCAATGTAACATATACTCCATTTCCTGTGTCGGACCATATGATTGCACTAGTCATAAGGTAAAAAAAATGTTGATTAATACGTTGCAGTTTGATAACAGTAAAAATCTGTTGTTTGATAAAATTAAAATGGTCTTACTCTGTGGTTTTCAAATCGTAAATCTTGTTCAGTAGACACTTATCATTCTCATCAAGCAATTTGCATATTACAGCCTTATCTGGAAACAAAACCCTTTCAACTGGCTTTGGTTGGCTTAGAGGCAAGTTGTCAACACAAATCACTTCATTTGATATCACTTCAATCACTTGTTTTGTGGTCTTTTTTTTCTTTACCTCTCTTGGCTCACATTCAAAATCAGACATCTCTTTCTTTTTCCTCGCCTTGATTTTGATTTTCTTGACCATGGATGTTTGCAATGGCTCTATGACTATAGGTGTTTCTTTCAATGTACTTTGAATCCCAAAGTTTTGCTTTTGTTCTACTCCTTTAGCATGTGGCATTTCTTTAGAAGCAAAAGCTTGGGTAGCCGCATGAACTGCATTTTCTTCAATTTGATTAACCAACTGTTTATTTTCAGATTCGAGTACTTCAAACTCCTTTCTCAGTTTCTCCATTTCTTTCTCTGTGTTGCTCATCTTTTTTATCATTTCTTTTGTTTTTGCCTCTTGATCCTCTTGTATTTTTTGCATTGTTTCCCTCATTTTCTTCAGTTCTTCAACCAATGCCATATTCTCACTTTTCAGCCTCTTGTTTTCCTTTTGAACTCATTCTAATTTTCCAAGATCAATGAGGTCCTTCAAAGGTTGATCATCTCCTAAAGCTTCAGCTACATGATCTTCATCTTCTTTAGTCTCCAAATTTTCCTCCATGTCCAATGCATCTTCTTCCTCATCATTGCAAATGAGATCCATTTCTTTTCTGGAAATGGGTTTCAGTTCATCGTGATTTACCTGCATTTGAAAAATAGAAAAAGAAAAGAAGTCAGCAATGAAGAAAACTTTAACCACCAGAGTAAAATTTTACTCTGTTTCAAAGTAAAAGTTTACTCTAATTGTAAGTAAACTTTTACTCTGATTGTAAGTAAACTTTTACTCTATTCAAGAGTAAGTAAAATTTTACTCTGATTGTAAGTAAACTTTTACTCTGATTTAAAATAAACTTTTACTCTGTTCAAGAGTAAATAAAATTTTACTCTGATTGCAAGTAAAAGTTTACTCTGGTTGTAAGTAAACTTTTACTCTGTTCAAGAGTAAGTAAAATTTTACTCTGTTTCAAAGTAAAATTTTACTCTTATTGTAAGTAAAAGTTTATTTTGTTCAAGAGTAAGTAAAATTTTACTCTGTTTCAAAATAAAAGTTTACTCTGATTGCAAGTAAACTTTTACTCTGTTCAAGTGTAAGTTTTATTATGTAAGTATAATTTTAAGCAAAATGAATCAATAAGGCTGAGTTTGGAAAATGATACCTCTTCAGGCTTTAGTGTTTGCAATGACCTCTTCATTAGCTTTTTCCTCAACGTTGATAAGTCCTATCGAAGGAGCCTTGGACACAAATTTTTTCCTTGAGCCTTGGACACCAATATTGTAAAATAAAAAATTGAAATTAGTTAATTCTCTAAAGATAGATTGCATAATATTTCAAGTAGTTCAATTTACTTACCAAAAGAAGAAGTACACATCCAGTTACATTTTTAGGACTTCATAAAGAAGAATGGATTGAAGTAGTCAACATGGATGCAACTGCAGTCGACCATGCATATGAATTCATCATTTCCAAATCTTCTACAAGGGTGACAAAAGCCCATCCAACTGTTAGACCAGTTGTTGGTAATAGCAAAGTTGCCACAACAAAAAAACACATTATTCGGGCAACATCCTCAACATCAACTGTCATTGTGCCTTCCAATGCATCTCTTCACAAACTCTTTACGGATATTCTTGACATATTAAGAAAGCTTCTCTGCACAAAAGTTGATTCTTGTTTCTTCTCATATGAGACGTCTACTTTTTCATTCCCAATTTTATCCCAAAAATAAAAGTAACGTCACTGTCCCGTATGTCACACATTTCCCCCCCAAGCTTAAATCCCTTTGCATGAAAGTCATAACATTTGATCACATCCATGACATTATCATCAACTTTCTTGAACTTCTTTAACACCACATCTTCTTTATTCCAAAAAGATTTAAACAACATCCCAAAATGTGTTCTCTCGAGGATATTAATATGTCTTTCAGTGAACCTCGTGTCTCGCATTATGTTTATCAGTGAAACAATATTTGACCTATATTGTTTCACATAGTTCTCCCTCTCCCGTACTCCATGTACAACATTCAACTTCGAAGGTTTTGTTGTTGAAAGCATGCAGCCTTCATCATCACTAGCATTGGACTGAACTTCTTTACTACTTTTGCCTTTTTTTAAGGGACTTTCTTCTTTTGTATAACAGTTGGTGGAACTTCAAAATCATCATCATCATCACCACCATATTTTCTTCTTGTAACAACCATTTTAAAAATAGTAAAAAGTTTCCCTATATCAACAGTGTAACATTTTAGTTTAAACAACAAAGTGACAAAACAAATAAGCACTAAAGAAAATGCACAAGCATTGTAATGAAACAGTAAAGTTTTACTTTGTTTGGCAGTAAAACTTTACTTTTATTGAAAGCAAAATTTTACTCTGATTGGAAGTAAAATTTTACTCTGAACAATATACCCTAGGAAATAAACCAAAAACACATACAAAATTTAGAGAACCAAGAATCAACAAAACCTTCTCTCAATTTTGACTATACGCAACATAGTTATGAAATTAACATGTACAATTCACATTCAAACCGAAATCAAAGAAATGGCGAAACTATAATCACATTCACATACATAAATAGATACATATATATATACAAATTGATATGCACATTTATGTAATGAGCAAAGCCTAGAGTTAAAGTAAAATTTTACTCTGGTTGGGAGTAAAATTGTACTCTGAAAAAATCATGAAGCAATTGAAAGCATTGAAATTGCAGGACCAAAACACATTCAATGAGATAGTAAAGTTTTTCTTCAAACCGAAATCAGAGAAATGACGAAACTACAATCACATTCACATTTATGTAATGAGCAAGGGCTAGAGTTAAAGTAAAATTTTACTCTGGATGGAAGTAAAATTTTACTTTGAAAAATTCATGAAGCAAGTGAAATTGAAAGCATTGAAATTGCAGGACCAAAACACTACAGAAATCAAAGCAACGAAATTGAAGCAAAACTGAATACACCATTCTGAAATACCTAAATTAGTTTTCAAAATTTTTAAACCTTAACATTCTCACATGATTTAGTAATTTAAAGTATTTTAAGATAGTAATAAAAATTTTAGAACAGATGATCCTTAGTGTAACCCAAAATCCCAAACTCTACTCACCCTAATGCGACAATGAAAAAAAAAAAGAAAAAAAAATCCTTAAATTACTCGCAAAATGAAAACAAAATGAAAACGTAATCTCATACACCATTACCCAGACAGACATCATAACATCGAAAAACTAGTAGAGAGGGGAAAAAATCACCTGCAAAATGTGTGTCCAAGAGAGAGAGTAAAGCATAATGCGGAGTTCGATTCGAGCCCAAGCGAAGAACCTGAAACGTTCCAGGGGTAGAAAGACAAAGTAGCTCTAGAAAGCGAGAGTAATGAGACTTAGAGAAGGGTTTTCAATTGATGCTAGGGTTTTCGAATGAGGCTAGGGTTTTCGAATGAGGATACTCAGAGGAGGGTTGTCAAACGATGAAACAAAGCGAGGGGAGAAAAACGGTGCGATTGTTTCGTATTTCCCCACTTACATGGAAGGACATTTCAGTCAATTCATAATATTTTTTTAATTGAGGGGCTTTTGGGCTCATTGTTTTATTCCGTGGGTTTCACACAAAATAGGCCCAATGGGAAGGGTTTTTCACCAAAAATCCCTATATATATTAGCAATTCAAGATCAAAGAATTTCTGTATAAGATGCACCAGCTAATAAATCAATTTGCTAGCAAAAAAGCTTATTTTGTTAAAAATAAAAAATAAATAGCCATTTGGCACCTCCATTTGCAGTAAAAAAATCTACTTTAACAACTCTAAAAAGTTTTTTTAAAAAATTGGGTAAATTATATTGACACCCCTTGAGGTTTCTGTTTATTACAGTTCCCCCCCCTCACATTTTGGAAATTACATCCCCCTCTCTGAGTTACAATTCCTCCTTTCACATGAAACGTGTAAGGATTAGATGTTTACCTGGTTAAAACCTTTTCCCTCCCCATACGAGATACGGTCAGGTATGCCTGTTGGTTACACCACCTTTACTCCTTTCACATGAAACGTGTTAGGATTAGATGTTTATCTAGTTAAAACCTTCCCCCTTTATGTACCAGATACGGTTAGGTATGCTTCTTGGTTACACCACATTTTCACCCTTCA